ATTTGGTTCCCTATCAGATGAACATCTAACATTACATGGGGCACAGCACACGGACCAGCCCTCTGCTCCTCTTAACTCTTCTCTGAGCTTACCAGGCTTTAAACGCTCTGAATACTGGTTAACATTATCCTCTACAAGGCTTGCTATCCAGACCATGAAGGGACAAGGGTTACTGGGTGGCTCTTCAAGGGTTACTGGGTGGCTCTTCAAGGGTTACTGGGTGGCTCTTCAAGGGAGGCAGAGGTTGGTTGGTTATAAGAAAGAACTGAAGGAAAAGGGAGGTGGAGAGTGAAATTATCCATTCAGAAGTTACAACCAGTCTGTGCTTTACTTCAGTCCTAATAATTCAAGAGCCAACCTCTGTCCCTTGGTTCTCATCCTCTAACCACAATTTAAACAAACAAAAACCCCTACACCTCTGGCAACAAATATTTTGAGGACAAATAAAACTTTCTATTTAATTATATCTGGGAAATACCCAGCGAACACTGTTTAAAACGGAAGGAAATGTGTGTGACTCCCAGCATTATTTTTTTTATTTTATTTTATTTTTAACATCACGTCCTTCACCTTCCAGTGGAAGGACTTTCTATTATACTTTGAAGGATCCTATACTGCTTTTGGAAACACAGCATTCAAGGTCAGGGGAAGTTCCTCTTTTTTTAAAAAAAAAAAAAAAGAAAAAGTCATGACAAGGCCTGTTTCTTCCTGTTGTTCCGCTTATTAACATGGTACCCATCACCACCATAGCTGGGGGGGGGGAGCCGGGCCGGGCCCAGATCCAAAAGATACATTAGCTTACAAGCAAAGAGCCTTATTGAAAATGAAGCACACATGCTCTGTACAACATACGATTACTTATAAGAACAAGTATGCAGAAAGAAAGAAAAAAGCAGGTAGGATAACAATACAGTAGAGAACCAGGGAATAAAGAGCTGTTGAAACAAAACCATAGAGACAGACCTAACGTGAGCAAATAAACCAGTAAGCTCAGTATTGCAGACAATGGGCAAATTCTTCAACCTATCCAATTCTTACAGTCTCTCCATCAGCCTGACCACAACCATGAAGCTCTGTCACAAGGACAGAGGTGCCTACAAGGCAAGTACAGGCAACACCAAATGTCAGGGGGGTTGAGGGAATGGTAACAATTGCTGCATGGGCAAATTCTGGTTGGTATCTGATGCCACAGCCGTGACGCTTTGTCAGCAGCAGGAACAATTTGTACCACCAGAGGGTCTACCCCAGGAGGCTGGAATGAGACCCTGGGCCAGTGCAGATCCATAGGCTGTACCACCCTTCTATCTTCTTTCCAGCTGAACAGTAAGGCAGGAAAGAAAAAGGGGGGAGAAAAAAAAAAAAGAAGCTCAAGTTAAAAAAAGTTTTCCCATTCCTTCATGGAAGGGCCTATCTTGCTGAAGGTTTGGCCCTCAGGGTCTAGGGTAGGTATGAGTTTCAGCTGCCCTCCAAGACATTTTATCAAGACACGCATTATGCACCCAACTGCACAAAATAAAATAAATATGTTTCAGCCTTTGATTTAAGCCACATTAGTACAGAATATTTTTGCTCCCAAGACTACAAAGCCAGACTTGCTTATGAGGTTATCCAAGGCTGCAGCATGTGCAGTTCTGAGTGTTTGCATGGAGTTCCTACCGCAGGTTGCCAGGCTTTAGTTTAAGCCCACTTCAAAAACACAATTCCTTCAGACAGGCAGGTAGTTTGCCAGCAATTCTCCTCTCTGTCCTGGTTTGGATTTTCCATGGGAAAGAAAAATCTTGCAGTAATCAAGGTTTTCTTTTCAGAATTTTTCTGTACGATTGAAGCTGCATAAACATGAGCTTACAAGAAATCTGTGTACAAGCTAAAAGTAAATCAGATTCAGATAAGCATTTAGCTACGTATATCTGGGTAGGAAGAGGAGGTAAAGAAACAGACAAATATTCTTTGAATATTTATACAGACCATTTTCAACAGCAAGTTAGTGAGGGATATGCTTTAAGCTATTAGCATGAAAAGCATGCGGTCTTGTGGCTCAGGTTTGAATATGCATCTCTGCGCATCGTGTCTTCTAATTCAGGGATTTTTATTTTTTTTTTTTTGAGATATTTAACACATTAGTACCTTAAAAGGCAAGAATGGAAAGAAGGAAAGAAAAAAACCAACACACAAAACACAGATTCTGTCTAGATCACCACCTATATCTGAAAAGATAACAATGCTGAAGATACTGGGAAGTCAGCAACAACACCTAGACCAGTAACAGCGGTGTCAGCGTAGGACCGGCAAACAAAAGAAAGGTGTGCTCTCCTGCAGCAGCCTCACTACTTCAGAAACAAAAAGTAAGCTGGAAAAAGGCTCAATATATAAAAATCAACACCCTAGGGAGGTGGCATGCTGCCCCCTGCCTCCCCCAGACTTCACCACAGGCACACAGGGATTTTATTTGTACTTCTTAGTTTTATTTATACTTCTCAGCTTTATTTATACTAGTATGTTAATGGCTCAAGCCTGAAAAAGCATGGGTTCTCTACACTGGCAATTAGGAGCCAGGCCTGTGCTGGCCATCAGGCTGACAAGAGCTCATGGGCATCTGCCACAGCATTTTTTTTTTTTTCCAACCCCCTGCACATGTTGCTTGCTCCCACCCACATTTCACCTATAGCCGCAAACTCCCTGTATTTAAAGTGTAATCGTTTGGGTTAACAGCAGTCCGTGATGACTAGCAGAAAAACGTTGCAAAAGCTCTATCTAACCATCAGAGCTGTCCTTCCTCAACTGTAATTATATCTGCCCGAGATATCGCTCTCTCTTCTTCATCAGAGTCCATCAGTTCTTTATTGCTTTTATCTTACTGAACTCAGGATACTCTGTAAAAGACAATAACTAGTTGTTCTCGTTAAGAATTTGTTGCAAAAATAAAAAAGCACGGAAGAAAACCAAAACCCACAGGACAGGCACAGCTAGAAACCACAACAACAGTGCTTCCCCAGCCTCCCCCTAACGAACCGTGACCCTTTCTACTCCCTTCAGCTATCTCCTTCCCATGCAGATAGCGGGAAGAATCAGCCTCCAAGAAAGAAATAACTTTGAAGCTAGCCCTGCTCCGAGCAGGGGGCTGGACCAGACTTCCAGAGGTCCCTTCCAGCCAAAAGCATTCTATGACTCTACTTATGAATAAGCATCTGATCAAATCCAAGGCCGTAATGCTTTTTTAAGAGTTTGTTTCAAGAATAGCTGCCAGAGGAAAACACAGAATTGGGGAGTAAAACCAAAAAAACCACAATAAATTCTGAGACAGACGTGCTAAGGTTACTGGACACTGAATAACTTTCCAGTAGTAGTACTATGTTTGATAACACTTAAAAATTAGTGGGTTTTAATTAAAGCTGGCACTAGGAGTTAAGCTGTCTTCTTAGGCAAGCAATCACCTCAGCAGCAAAATGGAATTGTGGTTGTGATCAGTTAAAACAGTTTTGATTTTCTACACTGGCGCTTTCTTTTAAAGTAGATTTTTTTTTTTTTTTTTTTTTTTTTAACATATCTATAACGATTCAGATGTGCTCCGAGTAATCGCTCTTCTCAGCCAAGACCAGCATTCAGATCCTCAGGTCAGGCCGCAGACACGCTCAGACACACCCTGTATTGCTGAAAGTTCATCTGTAATGAAGCTATTGCAAAATGTTAGCATCACGTACTATTAAATAATCGAAGTTACTAATGTTGGATGGATGCCTCCAGGAGGTCAATCCCAGAGAAAGTCCCACAAGGCCTGAGGGCTTGAAACAACATGATTTTCCATGCTGACGATGAAAGGAAGCCAAATTGTAACACATTTAATTGCTCAGCCCTGTCTCTTCCAAAGCTGGTCATCTTTTCCAGAGTGAGGACATCTCAGATTTAAGCAAGCCATCTGTCCAGTGTCCACTTTTCCCACTACCTCATTTTGACTGTGTTATCCACTTGGCCTCTTCTCCAACGACCCGTGCTGTACGCAAACTGGACACATAAGAGGCTTCCCCTTGTAACCACAGGAAGAACTTTGATGAACAAACATACCGAGAAGAATCACTTCAGCACTTGAAGAAACTACAATATAAGCCAGGTACTTGAACTCTGCAGATCTTTCCTTTCTCTGTCACAAGTTATTGCAACATACTGTTTTAAAAATCCCCATCTAGGACAAAATGTGGGATAGGAACGATCCCCATAAATGGCAATGCATCTTCCTAACCTGTGAGACCTCCAGTAACAGTGACAACTGTTGTTAAAAGGTCTTTGCCATCACCATTCAGAGTCAACTTTAAAACGGATTAGGCAACCGTCAGGAATGACCAGAGGTGAGGTTTATCCCAACAGGGGAGAAGGATGGGCTCAAGGACCCGTTACGTACCTTTCATACTTACTTTTGGGGATTTTGTCATAACTCTTTTTATAAACTAAGTAACCGGAGCTTAACTCCAGATTGTACACCTTGAAGGCAGCACCGAGCTGAGCTGGTACGCCCGTTCAGGCCAGCTCTGTAGAAAGACCCTAGCTCAGGTTCTGAAGAAACACCACTTCCCCAGCACAACCCTGCATCCGGGGTAATAAATCCAACCCTGGCACAACTAATAGCTCAGCCTCAGCATCACACGGGCAGAGCCACCCTGCTTCCACTCCTGAAGGCTTCTGTGGCAACCTTCCCCTTTATAATATATGTGCACCATGCAATTCCCTTTTTAAAAATAAATTACCAAAGTCATTCATGTTACTGCTGCAGTTCTTCAATGATTTTAAGACAGAACGTAGGTGCAAGAAGACTCTCTTACAGGAAGAGCATTGTCTCTCACATCACCATACCGGCACTCACGATCATAATAGTTTCATATAAAACCTAGACATAAATATAAACTTTAGCTGACCTACATTTTTCCAGGATGAAAAAGTATTTTTGATCAATAATTCTGAATACATACAGTAAGTTACACTGAATGTATGATTTACATAATGCCACCTACCTGCAGCTGCAAAGCACAAAATCATCAAAGCAAACACTGAAGTCACACAACTTGAAGACATTTTTGCAAATGCTGTATCTTCTCAAATCAGCTCCCTTTGTAGCTCTTCATGTAGATTTACTTCCTTTGAAATTTGCGGTATGTTTTGAAATCAAATCTTCCAGACTTTTAATTGCCTACAGAAATAAGTAAAAAATAAGTTTTAATACAAATATAACTCACAGAAAAGATACCAGATATTTAAAATTGTCTCTCCTGTAACAAGAGACGCAATTCTTTCTCAAAGGACTCCTAGAGGAGTGCATTTTCCATTGCCAGATACCTTAAGTAGTGATAGCTTAGTGCTCTTTCCTCCCTGTATTTCAGCACAGCTTTCCAGCTGTTGCTCTTTCATATTACCCATTGTGCAAGTTGTGATCTACTTGGAAGTGAAATCCCAGAGTCCCTTCTGTCGACTAATACCAAAGTCCTGCTGAGGCCTGCCAATGGTACTCGTAGCCCCAGACATGTTTATTTTAAGTATTCAGACCTTCTCTGGAACATATAAACATTTGTTTGTTTATTTATCTGCTGCTACCTTTATTATACCATTGAGAAAGCTCTCACATGTACTCTAGCTGTTTACGGGTAACAATAAATTTAACTCATCGTTTCTCAGTGTCACAAATTCTGAAAACTTTAAAAGGCCACTTGATGCTAAATATAAATATAAATCTGTTCAGAATCTTTATTTGAAGAGATTTCAAGACATGATATACCAGGTCAGTAAAACAAATTAAATGTGCTATACAAATAAATGACGATACAACGGACGCCTGCAGGCATTAAAAACATCAAAAATTCTGACCCCAGAATGCACACCGCAAATTTTTGAGGGGAGATGCTTACTATATGCACAATACCCTCTTCCACTTTTTTTTTTTTTAAACTATTTTCAGTCATCTAGATGTCTAGAATGAGACTAGGGACCAAGTAGGTAGGGAACCAGAACACAGGTATCATATTCAATGAAACTAAAAAAAAAAAGAAATATCTTATCTACTTGACTTCACTACCAGCCTTGGGAAGCAGAAGACGGCAGGCGGTGCCTCCGCAGCCACACGCTCACCAGCAAGCAATGCAAGGTATTGCAAACAACCATCATGGGGCTAAGTGAGAGCAAAACGCTGAGTCAGGACCAAAATCCAAACCACAAGAACGCGAATACTGTTTAAAAGGTTCTTGCTGACATTAAAGTGGAACAAAATACAAAGTCAGACAAAACCAGGGCTGGGCTCCGTTACACAGCATGTGCCGTGCTGTGCACGAGGGAAACCTGCACCTAGACCAGCACTTGCAGATACCTGCTGAGAGCAGTCCTACAGCTACGAAGAAAACACCAGGAACTCCTTTGCGGAATTTCTCCACGGGTTATTCTGCAGAGACGGCACTGCCCTGCATGGAGGGAGCTGCAGCTACCCACTGAGAAGGGGCTGTCAGTGCCCAAGGCCAGGACCAAGGCCCCCAACAGACCCAGCACCTCCGATGGGTCTCGGCAGTCCCCCCACTCCCACCCGCCTGGGAAGAGAGCCCAGGAGCAGCTCCACCAGCTGCTGGGAGCACCCAGACACCACTGCAGGACAGAGAGGTACAGGGCAAGGAACAAACTGGGTGCCTATCACAACATGGGGTTTCACCCAGTTCATGCTCAAGCTCAGCATCCCATAGCAGAAGCACATTTGCTTTTGTCTCCCGTTTGCTTTTGGCACACAGTATTTTAGGTTGCAATTCCGTAACTGGTTCTTTCCCCTTCGTACCTCCTCATTGCCTCCCTTACAGCGGCCTGGAAACATCATCAGGCAACAGCAGTGAATGAAGGAAACCCTTAGAGAAATGCTAACTCTGGTAATGCTATCTCGTAGTCTTTATCTTCTACCTATCTCCTATCTTCTATCTTCTACTTCTACCTACTATCTATCTACCCATCTTCTGCTCAACCTGGGGAAGAGGAGTTTACTCTTGACTCTGAAGAGGTACACTTACCACTTTGCACAGCGTAAACAAGATCTGGGTACCCTGCTATCTGCTACTCACAAAGCTATGCATGATCGATGTATGATTAGATATCCCAAACTGGAGATTCTTTTCCATCAGGTTTAAATGATATGAAACTGCCACTATCTGCAAAAATACTTAGTCATACTAACCTAAAACCTTGGCCTCAAAAATGAAGAACCTGTGAAACTACACTGGGATGCTTAAAATAGCCTTAGCCACAAAAAAAAACCCCAAACTGCATTCTTGTTCTCTTCCATGCATTGTCCTTTGTAGAACTGGCCCTGAACTTAGGAATAGATACTAATTTAAGAGAAAAAAAATGTTTTGAGAAATAAACAAATACCTACTTGTATATCATTCAAGTAGCAATATCATTTCTGTACATTTTTGCTTATTTCACCTTAAAATATATCACTGTTACTGAGGATGAATGTCATCACTTACAGGTTCTCTGGCACAAACTATCCTTTGCACTGTTTGCCAGGATCAATACATTTAAAAAATAAAAAAATGTTCGGCAAGGCTACACCACTATCACACAACACAACTGAGGTAATGAGACACCGCAATGAATTTCTATCATTAATAGCAAGACAAAGAACACGGCCTCATGAATTAGCAACAGTCCACCCCAGAGCCCCAAACAAGCATAATTTGCCTAAAGATTTCTTCTACGATATTTCGTAGAAGATGCATTCACCTTCAAGAGAAAAAAAAAAGTTCTGGAGAAGAATGAATGCACACACACAACCAATGTTGGAGACAGCTCAAAACAGGAAAACCTCAGAAAATGACGGCTTCCTTGGGCAATTCACAAGGCTTGTAAAAATTATTCATCCTGAACCTACTGGAAGCATTCAATGAGTTCCGAGATACCTCTCATCTCCCCCTAGAGCATAAGGTTATATAGCTAAACCCTCAGATCCCTGAGGGATACTGAACTTCGTGGTAAATTAGGGCCAACCTTTATTAAACAGAAATAATAGATTGTTGACAAGAGTGCTGGACAATCCTTTAACACAGAAGTTTCTGAACATGAAAATCCAAATCAAACAGGTTTAATGCCAAAACTGCAAGCCATAAGGAATTTATGACAGATATCGAGCATCATTTGGGAAGTCAAACGTAAACTGGAATCATTTCTTACTATTTCTCTAGATGAAAAGTAACCTAAATCTATTCAGTGAGAGTATCTGGTTGCTAAGTCAGTTTTTAAATGCTGACATAAAGAGAAATGACCAGATATAGCAAATCATGAGGTTTCTAGCCAGTGTTAGCTATAAAAGACCATCACCACGTCCTGCAAGATGCGATACGTGCAAACAGGCAATGAATAAGCATTCTGAAATGAGCTACGGCTGCATAACCATTTCATCAACAACGAACAGAAGAGAAACCAGAAAAAGAGCAACTACAGCACATACGCTCAGTTATATACTAAATGGGAAAACACAAGACACTACTTAGACCACTCTTCGACCAGCACAAACCTCTCATTCTTCAGTGACATTTTTATAATGTTCTGCAGAAATAGGGAGCGCAGGGAAAGAACCGGAGATAAAGCGATGCTGCTGAAAATAGCTGAGCATCCCCTTCCGTGCCGACCACCCAAGTATATCAGAAGGCCAAGTTTTGATTCAACTTTGATTTGGGAAAGATTATTTAAAAGGGAGAGAGAATACATGCACATTTCCATCCGTACATAAAAACCAAAGAGATTCAATTCCTGCCACAATCCACTGACGAGGAACATTTACAAGGAATAACTCGGAGCAGGCAGATGCAGTCAAAAAACCCTAGGCTTCTCCTCCGATTCTTCCAGCTCGCAGGAAGGGTGAGGAATGGAGACTGAAGTGAGTATTAGGAAGAGCTTTCTAAAGAAGGGGCTCGCTTGCTGGAAGATAGGCATTCACAAACTGAAAAAGGAGGGCAAATTTCAAACCTTGAAAGACAATGTGAAAAGGTGACAAAGGGACAGCGAGATTCATGGATTTAGGATGGATGCTATCCAAACTGCCAGCTACACAGCGGCAATTCAAAGTCAAAAAGCACAGTCAAAAATGATACTAATAATCCATTTAATAATAAACCCACTAAGCAGGCAATCTGTCAGTATTTTGGAAAACCTGATCATCCTCACCTGTGACAAGCCAGCTATGAAGCTGTATTATCTGACCATCTGAGAGTACCAAAGAGAAACAAATATGAAAGCAGGTAAGAAAAATTCAACTGTGGTGCAAAACATGCTTCAGTGTGAAGCCTGCCGTCACTAGAAGAATACATGAAACCTGCAAACCAGGAAAAGTTGAGGCAGTCGACAGGACAGAGGGGCATTTCCTTCGAAATGGAAACTCGTCGCTGTGCAAAGGGATCAGGAACCTAAACCATTTATCCAAGAAGTAAACACAACTGCTAGTCAATTTGAAATTCAAAATAAATTTCCGAGAGAATCATCTTTTCCTTTGGGGTATATTTGGGTAGCTATTTTTGTAACTGAGGTCATGGCAGGGCATATTAAAAGTATAAGCAAAAAATCCCGAAGAGGAAGAGAAGACAACACGAGAACCTCGGGTTTAGTAAACGTACCGTTTTCATGCCAATGCTTTATGCTACTACAAGCTGCAAGAAAGGCTGGCAGAAGGGGGCATCTACTTTGGGTGCCAAAAAGACTGCTGGGGTTTAATCCCAGCTGGTAACTAAGCCCCACATGGCCGCTCACTCCCCCAGTGGGGTGGGAGGAGAGAATCGGAAGGGTAAAAGTGAGAAAACTCCTGGTTTGAGATAAAGGCAGTTTAACAGGGAAAGCCACACACGCAAGCAAAGCCAAACCAGGAATTCATTCCCTGCTTCCCACCGGCAAGCAGGTGCTCAGCCGTCCCCAGGAAAGCAGGGCTCCATCACACGTAACGGTGACTTGGGAAGACAAACGCCATCGCTCTGAACATCCCCTCCCTTCCTCCTTCTTCCCCCAACTTTATATGCTCACATATCATAGAGGACATATATGCTGACATAAAGGAG